TAATGTGACCAGCACTAAGGCGGGCCGCCTTTGTCTCCCCGGTGCTCATGTTTTACATACCGCACCAGGTACTCATTTGAGGCTGAGTCGACCTAAGGGAGATTCAGGACCGATTAAAATATTATTGATCATACGGAGTACGTGAACCATTACACTTCCGCTTCTCACAATACACACATCCACATAAATACACTCTGAATCACACAAACACGCACGCACACAAACGCCCTCCCACACACACAAACACAATCTCATCCCCACATCTCACAGACGAACACCCACCCAGTCGCCCCCTACTCCCCCCACTCTCCCAGAGCTCTCACCACAAAGCCGGGGCAGGCAGCGCCACCGCCGTGGGGGGCTAGGGGGAGGGGGCGAGGGGGGCGCAGGCTTTTAGTCCATTTAACTTTATTTAAGGGGATGTCAAAGGCTCTCGCACTCGGCGCCGCCGCTCGCTAATTTGTCTTCTTATTCCGTGGGCTCCCTGCGTGACCCGCTCTCTGCGGAGGGGTGCGGGGAGGGGTGGAAGGGGGAGGGGGGGAAGGGGGAGGGGTGGAGGGGGGGGCGCCACGTCGCTCTTGATTGGCTTCTAATGCACTTTTCATTTGCTCCCCTCGCGCTCCGCGGCGGAGTCAATCTCGGCAGTTATTTCCCAATTACGGTCACCAATGCCGCTCCCGAGTAATAGTTTTCCCTGCATAGAGGGAGCGCATTCCGCACGCGGCGCTCGCCGCCACCGCCCGCCCGAACGAACCCTCCTCGCACGCGGCCGGCAAGTTCCAGAGAGAGGGAGGTGGGGAGAGGGGAGATGGGGAGTGCGAGAGAGATGGAGAGAGATGTTAAGACGGAGAGAGATGGGAGGGAGAGTGAGAGAGATCGTGAGAGAGCGCTATCGATGGGAGATGGAGTTGTAGGGTACATTATCCGGAGGAGATGGAGGGAGTGAGAGGTGGAAGAGAGATAGGAGAGTGGACAGAGGGGATGGAGGTCGAGTAAGGGAGGGAGATGGGAGACAGAGAGAGAGAGTGACAGATGCTGGGAGGGTGAGAAGAGTGAACGAGGAGGAGAGGCGTAAGAAGGGCGATGAAGGAGTAGAGACAGGAGGAGGGAAAGAGAGTGTACTATGAGGGATTGAGAGATGGAGAGAGACATGGAGATGGGGAGGGAGGCGGGGTGGTGGGCATGGAGGGATGGAAGGAGAGAAGGGAGTGAGCGTGAGAGATGGAGACAGTGGCGAGAGAAAGGAAGGTTAAGTGAGGGAGAGAATGGATTAGAGAGGGACACGAGTCAAAGGGGTGGGGGAGCGAAGGAGAGAGTAGAGAGTGAGAGGGAGGGGAGATGAGAGAGAGGGAGGGGAGAGCGCTGACGGCGCGTGCAGAGCTGCTGAAACGTGCACGCGCAGAGAACGCGGCGGGGATGGGGGGAGGGGCGGGGTGGGGGGGCTCGTCGTGGTCTCTTTTTGTCGAGGTTTGCAGCCGCTGATCCTCACTCCTCCTCCCCTCCCCCGCCCCTCCCCCGCCCCTCCCCCGCCCCTCCCCCGCCCCTCCCCCGCCTCTCCCCCGCCTCTCCCCCGCCCCTCCCCTCTCCACGTCGGAGCCGAGATGAGACGCGGGTTCCCGCTTCACGGAGACGCGCGGCACCCGGAGCCAAGGTGACCCGGGGGGAGGGGAAAGGGAGGGGGGGGTGCGGTGGAAGAAAGGGGGGGGGTAGTTGGGGGGTGGGGGTGCGGGATCTAGTGGCCTTGAGCGTCTCCTGTCCCCGTTGTTTAACCGCTGCTGCAGCCTCCTCCCTCCTCGTCTCTCACCTCGTTCTCCACCTCCTCCCCCGCGCCACTCCGCTCGCTCACGCGCTCGCGTTGCGAGGGTTATTATTTATTTTTGCTTTTAAAGTCTCTTAAATAATTACCGACGCGCGCGCCCGAACGAAGTCCGCGCGCGTGCACGCGCATGCACGTGGAGTCGTGCCGCGCGCGCGACCGACGTGGTGGGGGGAGGGGGTTGAGAGTGGGGGGGGCGCTGTGGAAGTGGGGGCTGTGTAGAGGGGGTGGGGGTCTGGAGGCGGCAAAGCGCGCGCTTCATCAGCAGGCGCGTGCACGCGGCTCCATAAATCATCCAATTAGACGCGCGCGCGCCGCGCCTCAACAGGTGAGCATCATCCCAACGCATCCGCCACGCGGCGCGCGCGACACCTCCCCCCGCCTTCTCCCCCCCTCGCCACCCCCCAACAGTGCGCCGCGATCACGGCGGCGAAGAATCAGCGCCGCAAAAATCGGCAAGAGGAGGTGACCCCGACCCCCTCCTTTCACACCCAGGTGTGCGAGGAGCTGCCCCCCCCCCCCCTCCGCCTTCCTCCTCCGCCTTCCTCCTCCCCCCCCTCCCCTCAACACCTTCTCCACCCTCCCCCCCACCTCCACCCCTTTGCCCCCCCCCCCCCCGCGCGAGTGCACACAGCGGCGGCATCGATCCCGGGCTCGCGGGCTCGCGGGCCGTCCTTGAGGCGCGCGCGCTCCCAATCAATCTGCCAGCTAATCAAGGCGCTAATTGCTGATGCATACTGATTAGCATGCCCGGCGCTCCCGCGGGGCGCGCGCGCCCGGCGCTGCGCCTGCGCGTGTGTTCCCGCATATTCATGGCGCCTCCAACACGAGCGGGTGGAGGGGGGGGCATGACAGCGCGGAGGAAGCGAGGGTGGAAGAGAGAGAGGGAGAGTGGGAGAATGGAGAGTCGGAGAGTGGGGGCAGAGGAAAGGGAGAGAGCGCCGAGAGGAATAGAGAAATGAGGAAGGAAGGGGGTAGTGAGAGTGAGGGAGGAGATATTGGAGAGCCGCGGGAGAGTGGGAGAGAGCGGTGTGAGATAGAAAAGGGAGAGCGAGTAGACGGTGAGGCGAGGGGAGAGCAAGATGGGGAGACGGGAGGGAGACGGGAGGTAGACAGTGCTTCTTGTGCCGCAAGATCTGTGTTTGGTGAGTGAATGGGTGGTGAGTGTTGAGGGGTGGTCAGTGGGTGGTGAATGGGTGAGTGGTAAGTGGGTGGTGAGCGAGTGGTGAGCGAATGGTGTGTGTGGTGAGTGGGTAGTCAGTGGGTGGTGAATGGGTGGGTGATGTGTGAGTGGTGAGTGAGTGGCGAGTGAGTGGTGAGCATGTACGCCCTCCGCTATGTGTGAATTGTCCGCGTGCCCGCGAGCTCGGCGCTGGAGCCTCGCGTAATCCATCAGCCGAGACAGCTCCGGGCAGGGAGCGGGGAGGGAGGGAAGCCAGGGTTTTGGGGGGCACAAGGGAGTGGGGTGTTGAGAGGCGGGGAGGGGGCTGAGCTCCCTGCACAACCCACCCCGCACCCCGCTCCTCCACGGTTCCAAGGGTCGGGTTGAACCCGTAACAGGGGGAGGGGGGCTGCGAGGTGCATCAGTTACCGCCCCCCTCCCCCACAAATGTACCCCCGACCCACACGGCAATCAACCACGCAGCACATATACACAACATGCATGCTACACACAGCACATACTGTAGACATGCACGTTACACACAGCACATGTTGTACACATGCATGTTACACACAGCAAATGTGTGCATATGCATGTTACACACAGCAACGTGATGTCATTGTAGATGCACGCACGTCAACAGGAGTGCTCTACACGTATGCCACATCGATACAGAAGTACACACTCGTGTTCGCACAAAGCATTTGGGGCCAAGCGCTGCTAGTGGCCAACTATGAAGGCCGGCACGCACACGAGGGGGTGGTGTTTAACACCACGCCCGACCGTCTTTGTCTCCCCAGTGCTGATGTTTACACACCGTAACCAGGTACACATATGAGGGTAAGTCGACCTAGAGGTTCATATAACTCGCCACTGATATTGGGTCGATGGGTTCGTAGCGCAGTGCGCTAACCACTGCGCCACCGCTCCCCACTGCCATTCCCCCACACGCACGCGAACACACGCCAACACGTGTACACGCGTACACGCAAATGTCCACGCTCGCACACGCACTGTGTAAACACTTCACCTGGTTAAGCATAAATCAAACTGGAATTTCCACTCAGTGACAGAAAGTGCCGCGTTTTTATTTCTTGTTCATCCGGCGGCTGCTGCTGCTTCTGCGCAAGACCATGGAGGAGGCGCCGACTCGACGCGCCACCGGGTGCAGAGACGAAGGCAAAGATCCCCCGCATAGCCTTCAACAGACTATTGGGGCAAGTACTGGGAGCGAGCACCTATGGAGGCCGGCACGGCACACGATGAGGTGGGTGGCCAGCACCACGCTCGGCCTCCTTTGTTTCATTTGAGGCTGAGTCGAGTCTAGAAACAGACAAAAAGAAAAAGACAAAGACCCCCGTATAGCCTTAACAGACTGTAGGGGCAAGTGCTGTTAGCGGGCACCTATGAAGGCTGGAATGGTACACGAGGGGGTCGGTGGCCAGCACCACGACCGACCGCCTTTCTCCCCAGTGGCGATGTTTACACACCGCACCAGGTATTAATTTGAGGCTGAGTCGACCTAGGGGAGGCCCAGGACCGATTCAGATAATCGTCATGGTTGTTGGCCGTGAGCGGGAATCGAACACCGGGTCGTCAGGTTCGTAGCGCAGCGCGCTAACCGCTACACTACCGCTCCCCGCTCTTTGTCTAGAGACAGACACACACAGGCACGGACACAGGCACGGACACACGGAGTGATTCGTAGCCACACACACAAAGACAGATACCTCGCTACAAGGTACCGTTTCAGAGATAACGTTGCACAAACTGATGCCATCGCTCCATCTCCTCTCGGACGAACACCAACGGCTCCGTGATAATGCTCGGCCATCACCATCAGCACCATCTCCACTCCCAGGCCCGGCGCCTCATGATCAGCAGTTTGTGTGATGGCAGGAACGCTTCTCCTCAATCGCCTCAACCTCCCCCTCCTCTTCCTGCTGCTCTCGTCGCTTCTGGTACCAACTCGGAGGCGCTCCCACGCTCACGACCTCGCCATGAACAATTCTCCGTCCGTCCGGCATCTGCAAGAAGACTCAACGTGATTCGCCCACTCCCCGTTCCTCTGGAATTCCACCCTCGGTCACGCGCCATTCACCTCCCTCCTTCCCCCCCGAATGCACACGAGGACCTGGATCGAGCACTCCCGCGGGTAAATTGGCACGGGCCACGTGATCACAACAACAGCAGCAGCAGCAGTCATCACCAACAGAGTTAATGGTGGGATGTCATTCCTCACTCGATGTCGCCCCCAACTATGCGAGGCTGATTCGGAATCGGGTTTTGTCGGCGTTGATTACTACCACTAGATGACAATGTACATGGGTACGCCTATTGATGATAATAATCAACTGGTTTTTTTACATTATATAACGATAATTATATTTACAAGTTATACACCACAGACACAGGTTTATACAATTAATATTGCAGGATGTCAAACTAATTAAGGGAACGGCGTTCCGGATAGTTGAGCGCTGTTCTAGCCATAGGCGTGTGGCTGTTTGTACTGCACACCAATGATTATTTATCCAGGAGAGGATCCTGCTACTTTGGGATGTATAGCAATGGTATGCAGAAGTGCTTGCTGTGGCCAATTCGCGTGGGAGGAGGAACCCGAAGAACCCAGAAGAACCTCAGAGCGGCGCTGCTGAATACGAGACGGAGACACTCTGTCGACTCATGGCACGTGTGTCTATGTGCTTATGGAAATGTGTATCGAAGTGCATCTAGCCTGGCACAATGGCCGCCCTAACATCATCGCTAGCCGCTCATTGGCTACTGACGCTGCAGACACCGCGCGTTTGTGACGAGAGTGGAGTAGCTGAGCGTGGTGTAGCTGAGAGTGGAGTGGCTGAGCGCGGTGTAGCTGAGAGTGGTGTAGCTGAGAGTGGTGTAGCTGAGAGTGGTGTAGCTGAGAGTGGTGTAGCTGAGCAAGGTGTAGCTGAGAGTGTAGCTGAGAGTGGTGTAGCTGAGAGTGGTGTAGCTGAGAGTGGAGTAGCTGAGAGTGGTGTAGCTGAGAGTGGTGTAGCTGAGAGTGGAGTAGCTGAGCGTGGTGTAGCTGAGAGTCGTGTAGCTGAGAGTGGTGTAGCTGAGCGTGGTGTAGCTGAGAGTGGTGTAGCTGAGAGTAGTGTAGCTGAGAGTGGAGTAGCTGAGCGTGGTGTAGATGAGAGTGGTGTAGCTGAGAGTGGAGTAGCTGAGCGTGGTGTAGCTGAGAGTGGTGTAGCTGAGAGTGGAGTAGCTGAGAGTGGTGTAGCTGAGAGTGGTGTAGCTGAGAGTGGAGGAGCTGAGAGTGGTGTAGCTGAGCGTAGTGTAGCTGAGAGTGGAGTAGCTGAGAGTAGTGTAGCTGAGAGTGGTGTAGCTGAGAGTGATGTAGCTGAGAGTGGAGTAGCTGAGAGTGGTGTAGCTGAGAGTGATGTAGCTGAGAGTGGTGTAGCTTAGCGTGGTGTAGCTGAGAGTGGTGTAGCTGAGCGTGGTGTAGCTGAGAGTGGAGTAGCTGAGCGTGGTGTAGCTGAGAGTGGCGTAGCTGAGAGTGGTGTAGCTGAGCGTGGTGTAGCTGAGCGTGGTGTAGCTGAGAGTGGAGGAGCTGAGAGTGGAGTAGCTGAGAGTGGAGTAGCTGAGAGTGGTGTAGCTGAGAGTGGTGTAGCTGAGCGTGGTGTAGCTGAGAGTGGTGTAGCTGGGAGTGGTGTAGCTGAGAGTGGTGTAGCTGAGAGTGGTGTAGCTGAGCGTGGTGTAGCTGAGAGTGGAGTAGCTGAGCGTGGTGTAGCTGAGAGTGGCGTAGCTGAGCGTGCGGTGGTCACCGACACGCTCCGCGTCTCTACCTCGCCCGGAGCGTGTCGGTGACCACCGATGAATTCCAGATTTAAATAAACAGATCTCAGTAAACACTGAGATATAGTTTATATATATGTGTGTGTGTGCGTCTAAATATGGACAGCGGTGGCGCAGTGGTTAACGCACTGTGCTGTACGAACTCGGTGACCAGAGTTCGATTCCCGCACACGGTCAACATCAGTGACAGCGAATATCTGAATGGGTCATGGGCCTCCCATATTACGCTGTGTAGAGATCACCACTGGGGAGACAAAGGCGGTCGGGCGTAGTGCTGGCCACCCACCCCCTCGTGTACCGTGCCGGCATCCACAGATGCTCACTAGCAGCACTTGCCCTAGATTCTGTTAGGGCTACAGGGGGATCTTTGTCTGTGTGTGTGTGTGTGTGGCAGCAGGGCTGGCTGTTTAAATGAAGCCTCGGGACGAGCGGCCTGGCTGCTGGAGAGCCCTCGGCGCTCTCCGGGGCGATTGCCGCCGCTCGAGCGAATGTCGTCGCCTCTGCGCGCCGCCGCGGTCTAACAGTTCACTATTATATAGAGCGACAATACCGACAGTATACATCAACAACAGTATCGATCAACAACAGGATATACGTGCAACGGCGATTCTTCGCATGGATATCTCAAGGTTGCACACAGGCACACACACACACACACAGCCACACACACACACACACAGCCACACACACAGGCACACAGACACACAGGCACACACACAGACACAGGCACACATACAGACACACAGACACACACACAGGCACACACACAGACACACACACAGGCACACACACACACAGACACACAGACACACACACAGGCACACACAGACACACACAGACACAGGCACACACACAGACACACACACAGACACACAGGCACACACACAGGCACACACACAGACACACAGGCACACACACAGACACACAGGCACACACACAGACACACATACACACAGACACAGACACACACACAGGCACACACACAGACACACACACAGGCACACACAGACACACACAGACACACACAGACACACAGACACACACAGACACACAGGCACACACACATACACACAGGCACACAGGCACGAAGACATACAGACACAGACACACACAGACACATAGACACACACAGACACACACAGACACATCGCGGTGAGAGCGATTATGCATGCACGTGGAAGAACATAAATTGTGTTAATGTTGCTTCAGCTCGCACCATAAACACTCAGCCTTGCGGGCGATGTGAGTTCGTGAGTGTGTGTGTGTGGGCCTGTGTGTGTGCCTGTGTGTGTGTGCCTGTGTGTGCTTGTGTGTGTGTGTGCCTGTGTGTGTCTGTATGTGGGCCTGTGTGTGTGTGTGCCTGTGTGTGTGTGTGCCTGTGTGTGTGCCCGTGTGTGTGGGCCTGTGTGTGTGTGCCTGTGTGTGTGTGCCCGTGTGTGTGGGCCCGTGTGTGTGGGCCTGTGTGTGTGTGCCTGTGTGTGCCTGTGTGTGTGAGGAAGCGGTTGTGCAGTGGTCAGCGCACTGCGCTACGAACCCGGCGACCCGAGTTCAATTCACAGCCAACATCGGTGATGAATATCTGAACGTGTCCTGGGTGTCACCCGAGGTAGACTCAGCCCTAAATCTACGATAGGTACCTGGTGCAGTCTCCCACTTGGGAGACAAAGGCGGCCGGGCGTGTTGCTGGCCACCCACGCCCTTCGTGTGCCGTGCCGGTCTCCATAGGTGCTCGCTAACAGCACTTGCCCCTACAGTCTGTTATGGGTGATCTTTGTATTGATGTATATGTGGATCTGTATGTGTATCCTTTATTTACGTAACGTGTGTATATCTGTGTATGTTTATGATTGTATGCACTCTGTATACGTAGACTACATATATATATGTGTGCATGTGTATATGCTCTTTGGTTCTATTGGGTAAAGTTACGTAGGTAAAAAATAATATAACAAAAAAATCACGACGTTTCGGCCACAACACAAGCGGCCTTCATCAGGTGAAGGGACGAGACTGTCTGGAGGACAGCGCTGGAATATGTATATGCATTGTGCATCGTGCACGTGTAGTTGTGTACAATGTATGTGCTCGTTTGTGTATACCTCTGTGTGCATGTGGGTATGTATGTGCGTGTATGTATACAGATGTGTGTACCTATATTTATATATCTGTGTGTGTAGCTACAGTATTATATATCCATTTGTAAGTATGTGTGTGTTTGTGCACGTATATATGTACACATAAATAGCACTTGTCCAAGCAGTCTGTTCAAGGCTATGCGGAGGATCTTTGTCTTTGTGTATACGTAGTCTGTGTGTATGTATCCACATGTGTTTTGTGCGTGAATACATATATCATCGTCATCATTAGCCATGATCAATCCATGGCTGGATGAAGGAATAATATAATGATTGAATGCTTTCGTTGGCCAGGGTGTTAGCGAAATTCTCTTAGTTTCGCTGAAGGGCCATCGCCCGAAACGTCGCCTACTTTTTCGTTTCTGTAACGATGCAGCATGAGCGGGGGTTGTCATTGATGCTGTTTCAGTGTGGGGAGCGGTAATGTAGCGGTTAGGCCGCTGCGCCACGAACCGAGTTTGATTCCCGCTCACGGCCACCAACCCCAGCGACTATTTTCTGAACCAGACCTGGGCCTCCTCTATGTCGACTCAGCCTCGAATGGCCACCCACCCCCTCGTGTTCCGTGCCGGCATTCATAGGTGTTACTCGCTAACAGCACTTGCCCCAACAGTCTGCAGAAGGCTATACGGGGGATCTTTGTCTTTGGTTAAGTGAAAATCGGCGCTACATTTGCGCAGCGACTTTTGCGTGACACTTTCACCCGAATAGGTAACAAGCGTATCACGTGATCAGGATGGCGACGCCGCTGCGCAACTGCACAGCGGCAGAGCAGCCGACGAGCGGCTGCTCTGCCGCTGACACCTCTGAGGACCGTGGGCCCGTGCGGACGAGTGAACCCCACTGAGCAATATAGTCCATAGAGTGGTTCACTATATTGTCCACAGTGGGTCACCATATGGTCCATTGTGGTTTACTATATGGTCAATACCACCGTGCGTGGCCTTAACAAGAGAACGTATATAACATCTTGATTTGAAACATTCGTGACTGCAGGCATCCATCATCAGAATGATGACGGACGCTTGTGTTGCGCCCGAAACGTCGTGATTTATTTTATTTTATACCTACGTGACTTTACCGAAAGAACCAAAGAGTACGTATATAACATGTGACGTTTCGGGCATTTGGCCCTTCTTCACAGTACATGCATACAGAGAGATAGGCCAGAGGGGTGGCTGACGAAATACAAAACTTGGATTCAAGACACAAATAGATGGACGGATGGAACAGATGGAGGGGCCGCATTGGGCCAAGAATCCTTCTGGCTCGGAGAGCCGGAAAACGTCGCGAATGCCGCCTCCCCTGCGCGCTCTCTCTCCCTGGTCGGGTGTCTCCACTCGAAGGGAACTTTTTGGGGGCAAAGTTTAACTCGGACGGTCCCCGTGTCTGGTGGGATCCGGTGAACTCCTCTTACACGCGCGACCCTGCCTGCAGCTGAAACCGCAACCGCTCGGGCTGCTTGCTGTTGTCGCCATGCATCGCAAACTCACGCTCGCAGCCGCCGGATGGAGCCGCTCCACCCGTGTGTGAACGTTCGGACGATTCAGACCGTTAAAGATTCAGACAGCTACCGCCACATCGCAGCTTCATTATCTGATACAAGTTTGCACCCTTTACAGGAGCAACACAAATAACAACAGCCCGCTGATCTTCCACTGTGCAGGTGTGCAAGGGCGCCTCTATTTTTGATCATGTGACTCGTCTATAATCTAGCGGCAAACGCCAGCCCATAGCACCTGGCTCTGCGTGGCCCCAAACGTGCACCGAGCCTGGCTCAAGCGCCAAGGCGACGTCACCGACACTTCGTGGCTGCTGTTGTGTGTCTTGTGTATATCTCCCATCTATAAACGAGTGCGTGAGGAATATTTGAACCTGTCCTGAGCCTTCCTTAAGTCGACCCAGCCTTAAATGAATACCCGGTGCGGTGTAAGCATCGCCACTGGGGAGACAAAGGCGGCCGAATGTGGTGTTGGCCACCCACTCCCTCGTGCGCCGTCCCGGCCTTTATAGGTGCGCACTGACAGCACTTGCCCCAGCGGTCCGTGGAGGCTACACGAGGGATCTTTGTCTTGTGTTTGATGCGAGTGTCCTGTCCCTTCCCCGCCTCGCGTCCCGCGCGCACGTGACACCCCACAGCACCCCTCTGCTGTGCGCCGTCGGGAGGGCAGCAGCAGCAGCAGTAGTCGTGCGGCGCACTCTCCCTCCTTCGCTCCCTGCACTCACTCTCCCCTTACACTCTCCCCTTACACTCTCCCCTTACGCTCTCCTGCCACTCTCCTCCTCCTCGCTCTCTCCTCCGCGCTCTCGCGGGTTGTTTGTTTGCGGGGCCTCCTCGGGAGGCCGCGCGCTGGACGCGGCTGCCCGATTCGTTTTCCCATCAAAACCGTTTAATTCAGCCAATTTGGGGCGCTCCGCAGCCCAGCTCTATTACGGAGATAAATAGCCCCGGACTAACTGTCAACCAAAACTTGTTGGCCAATAAATTATTCCAATTTCTGGCAGGAGATTTCTCGTGGGACCCGCGCGCGCACCAAATACACTTTTTGATTAGAGGAGGCGCGGCGCCCGGAGCCGCGGCGTCTGGGCCCATTAATGGGGGAAGGGGGGGGGGCTGGCAGGGGGGGGGGGGAGGTTGGTGGGGGGGGGCAGCCCGGTACCCCCCTCACTCACGCCCCCCTAAGCCCGCGGGACCCCCTGCGGATCCCGCTTCCTCGCACTCCTCTCCTTTCCGCTCCCTCCCCCCTCTCCCCCTCCTCCTCTCTCGGCATAAGAAGAAGTTTTGAGAGTTGAAGCGCAGCCCCGCCCCCCGCCCCCTCATTGGCTGAACGGTGAATGCTGATTATCAGTGATTAGCGCTCATTAATATGCGTGGTGATGTGAGTGAGCCATTATCGCATATTCCTATCGTTATTCACTGTTATCCTAGCCCATCACTGCTCATTAACGCTGATTATAGTCGTAGGTATTAGACATTTTTTCGAGTAATTAATTGACTGATTAATATTCATGATCAGAAACGCATTGAATAATTTAACATAATTATATTAACTCATTAATATCCGAGATTACTGGCTACTCACCACTAATAATGACCGATTATCAATGACCGATTATTCATGACCGATTATTCATGACCGATTATCAATGACCGATTATTCATGACCGATTATTAATGACCGATTATTAATGACCGATTATCAATGACCGATTATTCGTGACCGATTATTCATGACCGATGACCGATCAAGTAAAAAGTGTGATGAGCTGATCATGTGAGATCACCGCAGCCACAGCCACCAGCTCACCGCGAATTCAAATCGCACTCACCACACAACCGCCGCGAGCGATACTCAAACACGATTGTAACCGCACTGCGGCATCAATTATGTAAGTGCAGGATGTATATCTATTGATAATTACCACGGTGATGATGATTGAAACATCTGTAATTATAATCGTGTTTGTTTAAATTATTATGAACCGCATTTATCTACTCAGCAGTACTAATCTCAGTACTCGGCAGTACTAATCTCAGTACTCAGGAGTATTAATCTCAGTACTCAGGCGTACTAATCTCAGTAATCAGCAGTACTAATCTCAGTAATCAGAAGTACTAATCTCAGTAATCAGGAGTATTAATCTCAATACTCAGGAGTACTAATCTCAGTAATCAGAAGTACTAATCTCAGTAATCAGGAGTATTAATCTCAGTACTCAGGAGTATTAATCTCAGTAATTAGGAGTATTAATCTCAGTTCTCAGGAGTATTAATCTCAGTAATCAGGAGTACTAATCTCAGTAATCAGGAGAACTAATCTCAGTAATCAGAAGTACTAATCTCAGTAATCAGGAGTATTCATCTCAATAATCAGGAGTATTAATCTCAGGAATATTAATCTCAGTACTCAGGAGTACTAATCTCAGTAATCAGGAGTACTAATCTCAGTAATCAGGAGTATTAATCTCAGTACTCAGGAGTATTAATCTCAGTAATCAGGAGTATTAATCTCAGTAATCAGGAGTACTAATCTCAGTAATCAGGAGTATTCATCTCAGTACTCAGGAATACTAATCTCAGTAATCAGGAGTACTAATCTCAGTAATCAGGAGTATTAATCTCAGTAATCAGGGGTATTAATCTCAGTACTCAGGAATACTAATCTCAGTAATCAGGAGTACTAATCTCAGTAATCAGGAGTATTAATCTCAGTACTCAGGAGTATTAATCTCAGTAATCAGGAGTACTAATCTCAGTACTCAGGAGTACTAATCTCAGTAATCAGGAGTATTAATCTCAGTACTCAGGAGTATTAATCTCAGTACTCAGGAGTACTAATCTCAGTAATCAGGAGTACTAATCTCAGTAATCATGAGTATTAATCTCAGTAATCAGGAATATTAATCTCAGTACTCAGGAGTACTAATCTCAGTAATCAGGAGTACTAAACTCAGTAATCATGAGTATTAATCTCAGTAATCAGGAATATTAATCTCAGTACTCAGGAATACTAATCTCAGTAATCAGGAGTACTAATCTCAGTAATCAGGAGTATTAATCTCAGTACTCAGGAGTATTAATCTCAGTGATCAGAAGTACTAATCTCAGTACTCAGGAGTATCAATCTCAGTACTCAGGAGTACTAATCTCAGTAATCAGGAGTACTAATCTCAGTAATCAGGCGTATTAATCTCAGTACTCAGGAGTATTAATCTCAGTAATTAGGAGTATTAATCTCACTTCTCAGGAGTATTAATCTCAGTAATCAGGAGTACTAATCTCAGTGATCAGGAGTACTAATCTCAGTAATCAGGAGTATTAATCTCAGTACTCAGGAGTATTGATCTCAGTAATTAGGAGTATTAATCTCAGTACTTGGCAGTACTGTACTGATCCCAATGTTCGGCAGTACTAATCTTAGTACTAGACTGGACTAAGATGACAACGTACACCTGGCAGTGATGCGCATGTACACATAATTAACGATGTTATTGTGTTTGGTGTGGCTCGTGTTGTGGTGGTTGTTGTCGTTTTTTCGCGACTGAATTCCCCTCTGCTCTCCGAACGTTGCGAGCACAGAACCGTCGGAGATCAACTCATCCCGTCACACTTTCGAGGTTGACAAAAGGACTGCCGCTTTTTAGAATGTCAATACGCTGCTGGTACGTGGATAAACTCGCACTTGCATGATAACGTGGAATTTCCATCGCCGGCCCACAGGAAAAAATGTCTTCCCGAATGAACCTGGAGAATCCTAGACGTGCCTTCGTCTGTCTCTGCGAGCCGCAGCAAGATTCGTAACGTGGTGCCCATCGCTCTCACGCCACCTCCACGATGGGAATATTCGCCTCGTTCCCCCCACTTCTGTCTCTCCATCAGCCCCCCGGCCCTCTGGGAGTGGCATAATTCCAGCAGCAATGGTCCTTTACAACAACAACTCTGGACCGGTCTCGATATTCAGTGTCTCATCATCGTCATCACTGAAGTCAGGCTCACGTGAGTCAATGTTAGTGAATGTGAATTGCCTAGATGTTATTGCCCCCCCCCCCCTCTCCGTTGGTTATGAGTTCCGGTCTCCGCTCGCCCCACTACTCCGCTCATCTCGGACTCGGGGAGGATTGGACGGCGCGTGGATTGGTGAAGAATCTCCTCTTCCGGTTTCCATCAACAACGATCGCAGCAGCAGCATCACCAACAGCATCACCCAAACCAACGTGGCCCCATAGCCCAATCCCCCAAACCCTAAAACCATACCCATAACCTAAGCCATAAACCTCTAACCCTAAAACCGTACACTTAACATAATCCCGAACCATAAACGTGTCCTTAACCTAACCTCTAGCCCCTTAACAATAATCCCATAACCTGATCCCTAACCCTATCCCCTCAGCTCGTGGCGAGTGAGCCCCTGGGAGGCGGAGTGATTAGGGCCACGCCAATTACCGCTCTCCCCTCCCGTGATTAATTAGGGGGCGGGGGGAGGGGGAGTGTGGGTATGTTATTCGCCCCACCTCCTTGCGTTGCTTTCACTGCGGGGTCCGTGACCCCTGACCCCGAGGGGGGAAGGGGTGGGGGTTGCTGGCTCACGCAGGGATGGGCGGTCCCGGCTCCTGATCGCGTTTGTCTTTCCCCGGGTGCGACGCTGCGTTAAATGACGTCATCAATTGACCTCCTTAATTGACGTAGTCGCTCATCAGTAATTGACACCATCACTCATAAAGAGCCGTGCCCCTCACCCCACCCCTGCAGCCCCAGCCCCGCCCCTCGCGGGATGAGCAGGGCATCAGCGTACGTGCTTGTGAGTGTCCCTTACTAGGAGCTCCTCGGCATCACTTGTCCAAATACTCTGCGCACGTGCGCGCGTGTGGCTCTTAATAGGAGCTCGCTCACATCGCCGTGCGGGTAAATGAGACATCTCTCTTTATTGGTCAATAATAATAATTACAGCATCGGAGTGACAGCCAAGGGACGGCACGCGTCCGAGAGGTCATTCAACGAGGAGATGGAGCCATTAACTCAGCGTGTGTACAGGTGTGTGTGTGAACGTGTGTCGTTGTGGGGGCGTTTTTACGGTGGAGGGGGGCTGTGCAGTGGTGGGTGGGTGGCGTGGGGGGTGTGGGAAAAATTCCCCCACTCCGCTCTGAGTGGCCGCACCCGCACGCTGATTTCGAGATCATTTGCGAATGAGTGTGAATGATGAACTCCAACAGTCAGTGTGGTGTCTCTCTCGTGTGCTCTTTTTGGCTCTCCTCTTCCATCTCTCTCTATATCTCTGATCATGTTGTGCCTTTGGCAGGCTCCACGGCTCGGATCCACGTCACAGCCGGTTGGGGTTCATTGTCAATACGGTCCACAAAGAGCGCTCGCCTCTGTAGCTCACGTGCTGCTCATCCATAATCGCCTTCATCCAGCAGTTGATCAATGATGGTTGATGATGACGGTGTAAGCGTATAACCGTGTTACATGTATGTGTTTGTCGCACGACATTATACATGTATACTGCTGCCCGTTATCGTGTGTACTGTTTGGAGGCGTCGTGGCCCAACTCCTCGTTACCCAGAGGCGCAGTGAAGGCGGCCCCTGCCCAGGAGGAGGGGCGAGAGGAGGGCGGGGCCTGGGGGAGGGGTGCTTCTGGAGAGAGGAAAGAGTGAGGGGAGAAGAGGAAGAGCGGAAGGGAGAGCAAAAAGTAGAGGGGAGAGATGGAGCGGGGAAGTAGTGGGGAAGAGAAGGTAGAGAGAGAGAACAGAAAGATATTAAGCTGGGGAGGGGGGAGTGAGGGAGCTGAGAAGAGAGAGAGAGAGACCTGGGGCATGGGGAGGGGGCAGTGAGAGTTAGAGAGAAGATGAGGAGAGAGCGCCTCATGCAAATTTCACGGCGACCGCTGAAAACCAAATCCCGGAGCCGAACCCGGTGACACTCGCTCGCTTGGTATCCACAATGCACCAGGATTATGTAAATCGCTCAGCCGTCAATAAGCCTCGTTCCCCCGTCTGTGGCCCTGCTGACACCTTGCACGTCGGCCACACGGCCTTCTGGGAGCGCACTATCCCAGCGGAAATTAGTTCGACTCAAGAAAACTCTGGGCCGGTAACGGTCGCATCAGCAAAGTGCGGGCTTGCTAGCCAATAACAACAACAATAGTAGCAGCAGTAGTTGCTTGGGGGGCGCCCTTCGTAGGGGGTCACCGCACCCCCCGCCTCCCTCCGCGAGGTGGCGAGTCCTCGTCGCTGACATTAGGCAGGGGAGGAGCGCGGCGGGGGGGGGAGGGGGGGCGAGGGGGGAGGGAATGGGGGAGCAGCAGCCAGCTGCCTTCTGTTTGGAAGAGAGAAGGCGAATCAATAGGCCATGCAGCCGCGCGGGCCTCCATTCATCATGCCTCCGTCCTGACTCCCATCATTCATCATGCTCAATGAGGCAGCAAATAGGAAAATGACTATTTGTATCAGACCCATCTGCACTCATCCACCGGGGTGGTTTATTCCCATTAACAGCCCAAGTAAAATACACTCACCTCTCTCTCTCTCTGTGTGTCTCTCCCCGTGCACGCGGCGCGGCGCACGCACTCGGCGCCGCGCTCTCACGGGGACCGCGCCGAGTCCAAAGCGCTCCCCCCCACCTCTGCTCCCCCTCCGCCTCTCTCCACTCACCCCTGCTCTCCCCTGCTCCCCCCTGCTCCCCCTGTTCGGACTCTCCGCGGCTCCTCTCTGCCTGCTTTCCCTCCTCTCTCTCTCTCCGCCCGGTTGCGTCTCTCTCAGCCCCGGTCGCGCGAGGAGGAAGCGCGGGATGGTTCGGGAGTCTCGAGCGCCGGGGAGCGGGGAAAGGAGGAGGGGAAGAGGGGAGGGGGATGCGGGATGAGTGGGAGAATAAGAGGAGGAGCGACTCGTGAAGCGGAAGTGGCTGTGAAGAGTTTCTTCCCCCCCCCCCCCCGTGCGCGTCTGTCTCTGTCTCTCTCCCCCTCTCCGCCTTGTCTCTGTCCGCCCCCTGCGCCCACGCCTCCCCGCGTCTTTGTTCGCCTGCCTCGCCTCCCTGTCCGCTGCTCCGCCTGTTCACCTGTTTGTCCGCCTCTCTGCCTGTCCGTCCGTCGGTCTGTGTGTCCGCACGTGCGCCTCCACGCCTCGCCGCCCGTACCCTCGCCCCGTCTCCTGCCGCCACCCTTTCCCCGCCGTCCTCTCCCGCCGTCCCATAAATTAGCGCTAAATGGCCCTGGTCGGGGACGCGGAGAGTTCAAGGGCTCGGCCAAACGGCTATGTAAATAGGATAATGATCGTTACGGTGTAATATTCCATGAAATGGTGAAATTATCGCGCCTCTGATGAGGCTGCGGGCCCATCGCCCCGAGGAGCCGTAAGGCTGTCCGCGCCACACATTACCGCGAGAAAAATCACGGCGAGAGCGGGGAGGGAGGGGGCGGGAGGGAGGAGGCGAGGGGATATGGAGGTGGGGGGTGGGGAACAGGATAGGGACGGCCGCGCCGAGCCAAGGGGGTTCCGCCGGGACCCCCACCCCTCCCCTCTTCCCCTCCCTCCATCACCCCCCCCCCACTCGGCACTCACTTCCCGCGCCACCCGCCGTCCTCCCGCCCACCCCCCTCCCTCCAGGGCCCCCACCCCCGCCCCCGCCCCCGCGCACCCGCTCGGCCGCTTTAGATTCATCACATTCATGGGATCTTCACAAGCGACTGCACTCAATTTTCTACCAATTTCCCTATTATGCAAATATGTAAAATATCAAATTTAGGTCTATTAGTTTCTTCACGGTGCCAAATCCATCCAGTTACGGCATAATTACAGAAACTGTCCGGCAATTACGGCCGCTAATTGGGAATATTTGTGACAGACACGAGGCGCCGCGCGGCGCGCGCCCGGGCTCGGCTCGGGATTGAAAACTGATTGGCGCCTAATTCAACGTAAGTAATGAGTTGTGCCGAGTGCCTGTTATCAAATTTGCACAATCCATACTTTTTTTTAATACAAAATGATCCTAATAAATTGGGGGAAATCATACAATATTTAGCTGATAAAACCTAAACGCGTGGCGTGAAGCGAGGAGGCGCCGCGACCGGGAGGGAGCTCTGCGAGCCGGGCGCGCGCCTCGACTCCCCCCGCAGGGGGCCGGGGACGGCGAGGCGTGGCCGCGGTGTGTGCAGGGCGAGAGAGCGACAGCGAGATAGGGACAGGTGAGCACAGGGATGAGAGAGTGAGCACCAGATGTGGTGGGGGACAAATGGACAAGGGTACCTCAGGTATGGGCAGGTGAGCACGTGATATGTGCGCCGCTTCCCGTGACATGCGACCCCCACAAGAAAGGTGTCGTGAGCGGGTGAGGGTAGCGGGGGACACCGCACGCTTCACCTGACGACTCGTGACCCCCACACTGGTGACCCCTGACCCGCCCCTTGCTCCTTCAGCCACGTGGCATCCCCCAAGCACCTGGATCCACCAAGGAGCCCCGCAGAGCCCCCCGCTCCCCTCACTTTAAACGTCGCTTAGCCAGGAGCTGTCTGAAAAGGGGGAGGGGCAGTGGGGTGAAAGGGAGGGGCTGACCTCACCAGGGGGGAACTGTCCCCCCAGCCCCCTCCTTTGCTTTGCCTGTTCAGTTGATCGTGCCGGGATGTGTGTGTAGGGACGTGTGTGTATGTATATTAAACTTCTTTCGCACCGTACGTAGCCAACCGTGCTAATGGGAGGTGTGTTTAGGAATGTGTATGCAGGGATGTGCATGTATGCAAAAGGGTGTGTTGAGTGTGTTGGGGGTGTGTGTAGGTATGTGTGTGATGTCCTGCTCAAATGAGAATTGCTCAACTTGTGTTTACAGCCCTGAGTCACTGGTTTTAAATTCCACATTCCCATGGTGGGGGCGCTATTGTATCGGCCCCAGAGGGATGATGAGTCGACACCGAACCAGGATGTGAACCCGCACCTTCCCGGTTGCGAGCCGCTCGCTCTCCCGTTGAGCCGCGTGACCTGAGAACGCTGTGCCCCGTGTGTAGGACTTGTGACCTGTAGCTCTCAGGTTCTTGAAGGATATGGACTCAGTCTCGTTAGGGAACTCCTCCGGTGGTTGAGGTTGCGTTAGCTGGGTCATGTAGCTCGCATGCCCAGCCACCGTTTGCCCGAGCAGATAATGTTTGGTTGGATAGAGGAGGCTATAGAAGAGATGGACTGAAGTGGTACAGGATGATGTGTAGCTGAGTGGACTTGCTGATTACTGGTAGCAGCGTTGTCAAGATCGGCTTCTGTGGAGGAGACGCTATTGAGCAGTGCCTCGAGGCTACTGGCCAGTTGGAGGGAGTCGCCTTCCAACAGCGGAGGGCAGAGGACCGACGCTCACAACGAGCGGAGCCCCGGGCGGCAAATACGCAGCAAGTTGGCACAGTGGGGAGCACAGGTGGTGCATCTGCCAGTCATCTCTGTCAACTAATGGCACCTGGAGTCTGTCCCGTAACCTCCTGTCAGAGAGCCCTCGAATCTTCGCGTGGCCTCAACGTACACCTTGTCTGGCACAAGTGCAGTGGTGAATTCACCGTCACTTCGTGGCGAATGGCGGTTGGTTGTTGTTGTGTACGTGTGTGTAGGTGTGTGTGTGTACGTGTGTATACGTGTGTGTGTGTGTACGTGTGTGTACGTTTGTACGTGTGTGTGTGTGTACGTGTGTGTGTGTGTACGTGTGTGTACGTGTTGTGTTTTTGTCTGTACGGGGAGAGGTAGTGTAGCGGTTAGCGCACTGTGCAACGAACCAAGCTACCCGATTTCGATTCCCGCTCTCGGTCAACACCAGTGACGATTATCTGAACCGGTCCTGAGCCCCCCCTAGGTCGACTCGTCATCAAATGAGCATCTGATGTGGTGTGTAAACATCGCCACTGGGGAGACAAATGCGATCGGGTGTGGTGCTGGTCACCCACCCCCTCTTGTAACGTGCCGGCCTTCATAGGCGCTCGCTAACAACACTTGCCGCGAAAGTCTGTTCAGGCTTTACGGGGTATTGTTGTCTTTAGTGTGTGTGAGTGTGTAAAGGTGTGCGAGTGTGCAAGGGTGAGTGTGTAAAGGTGAGTGCGTGATTGTGTGATGGTGTGTAAGGGTGAAGTGT